GGAAAGGAAAATTTGTGTGTTTCTGTTTTACCATCTCAATACCTTGAAGTGTTTAATGTGTACTAGGTGATCTGTGAGAAATCAATGAATGAATGTTAATTAAACAAAAGATTGCTGGATGCTGGTGGGTCATACCTATAATTCTAGCTACTCAGGAGGCTGAGATCTGAGCTTGAAGCCAGTTCTGGTAGAAAAGTCTGTGAGACTTTTATCTTTAATTAACTACCAAAAAAAAAAAAAAGCACAGACCCAGAGTTCAAACACTAGAACCAGCACCAGGCAACAAATTAAAAAAAAATCAACCAAAATGGTAGTTATTATTAGTGTAGAGGAGGCGGTTTAGATCAGATGCTTGAAATCATCAACATGTAACTAAAGGAAGTCTTGTGTGATGTTTACTTTCTATTTGGTTGTTCTTTCCTGAAATCTAAGTACATTGTTATTCTACTATTCCATTTATGCCACCAAAGGCCTGCTTGGGCCTGTTGCAAAAAATAATACTAAGAGAGGGTGCAAAGCCTCATTAGTTAATATACTTAATGAACTTCAAATGCTATGGAACAATATGTCATCTGGGAAGATGTAGTGATGAAGGAATTATTAAACACCTCGATAAAATTAATTTATTAATGTAAATGCAAATGCTAATAGCCTCAAAAGGAAAAATTTGTGTATTTGCTAATATATATGTTGCCTTTAACTCAGAAGCAAATTTTTGTGTGTGTATGCTGGTCTTGGGGTTTGAATTCAGGGCCTGGGCACTGTCCCTGAGTTTCTGTGCTTTGAGCCACAGTGTCATTTCTAGCTTTTTGCTAGTTGGAGATAAGAGTCTCATGGACTTTTCTGCCCAGGTTGGCTTTGAACCACAATCCTCATATCTCAGCCTTCTGAGTAGCTAGGATTACAGTCATGAGCAACTCATAGCAAGTTTTATTTCAGTAATATGCAGCAAATTGTCTTGGTTCTCAGTTTTGTCAGTTCTAACATAACATCTTTTTGCAAAAGATATATCATCAAATTGCTAAAAAGATGAACATAAATGATGCAATTTTATCATCATAATCTCTTTGAAATTTAAGGCATTATTGAGTAATCAAATATATAAAATATAATTTAAAATCTCCTTGATAGCTAAGCAACATCTAAGTGATTTTTTTTAACCTTTGTCTTATATTACAAACAGTGAGAAAGCTTTTTTAAAAAAAAATCTTGATGCCCAGGTTGTACTCATTACCAATTTAATCAGAATGTCAGGAGCTGAGAGTGATTCCAAGTGTAACAGTTTGGGAACCTCTGCAGTGTAGTATGGGAAGGGAAAACATGAGCAGCTGAAATACTCTGGAGGCAGAAGATGGTTAAGGTCTGAGTGTCACTTTTATTTTCATATGTCTGGGCGTACAGTATACATTTTAGAATACTTACTGGATTGATCTAACCTTAGGCAAACATTAAATTGTTGTTTGTAGAGATCAAAATGCTCAGCATCCATTTTAATAGTCCTTAACATTTACTATTTCTCATACATCTCAAAAATCAAAGCTATTATAATGGCCCGGACAGCCTCTAGTATCTATATCTCATCTCAGTTTATCACTGTTCAGAGTTTAGTGATCACACCACTTCACCTCTAGTTGGGAGCTATCTAGATCCACATTCTACAATCAGTAGTCATGAGGTGTTTATTCCAGCCTGCAAGTGAATAAGCCAGCTCTAAAATCCTATTTTAGGATCTACTTCCTTGTATAGAACATTCCAGGTACCAGCTGCCTTAGACTAGGTTCCTTACAACCGACTCTGAGAAGGAAGTTGCATATGGAGAGTTTATTGAGGAGTGGTCTGGAGAGTACACAATGAGGAACACACAACTGGGTCAGGAGAGAGATTAGTGACTAAGTGGTAACAGAGACCATGGCCTATGTATGGGAAGCTGTCCAGATGGTATAATGGCTCTTCAGAGTTGTTGCAAGTTGAGACAGAGGGACCAGCTCTTATATTCTAACATTGGCTTCAATGGCCTTGGAAAATGGGAATAACTTCAGGTGAGACAGTTCCTTAGGCCAACAGTTTCTAAGCCATAAGCATCTGATATTTTTGGTTGTTGGAGGATGATTGTATTTGACTTGAAGGAGTTCCATAGGAACTAGGATTGTTCAAACTGACTCCCTTGAGTTAACAGGGACTTATCATGTTGGCTTCTATTTCTTTTGACATGATCCATTGTGGGTTTATTTTCTACTGCTGTTGTTGTCTTCTGTTTTTTCTTTATCTTTTTAGGCAGTGTTTCACTATGTAGCACAGGCTAGCCTCAAACTCAAGATCTTCCAGCCACTCCCTGCTGAGTGCTCATTAGTCAGGTACTCTATCCTTTTTCATTCTAATAATATTTTTGAATCGTGTCTCAAACTTATGCTCAGGCTGACAAGGACATCAATCCTCTTATGCTTCCTATTTTAGCTGAGATGACAGGTATGGGCCACGATGCTCAGCTTTTGTTGGTTAACGTGAGCTCTCCCTAACTTTTTGCCTAGTATGGCCTTTGAACTACAACTCTCCAAGTCTCTGTTTCCCAAGTAGCTAGGATTATACACAGGAGCACTGTGCCTGGATAAAGACTTTTTTTTTCTTTTTAAATGGGAAATGTAGAGACCACAAAATGAGTGGTAGATTTGGTTCTAGGCCTTTTCAGTGGGCACCTGAGGCTGATTCCTATAATACTGAGTATCCTGAGTCAAGGTAGTGACAGTTCCACGCTGGTCTGTAGTAGTGGAGCACCTGAGCATTATGTGGAAGTCTGTCCCTTTCCCTCCAGGACACCATGCACTTTGAAAGAGGATTGCTGAAGCTCACCCTGATGTGAGTCACCAGCTAGAGGTGGGGGTGGGGAGAGAGAGGGAAAAGAGAGGGAAAGAGAGGGAGAAGACTCAGGAGGCTGAACAGCTAGTATTCAAAACATCACACGTAGAGGATTAGATACCCTCTAATACCATACCCTGTGCAGTTCCAGAGGGACAATCTAGGCTGCTTATGTAGAAAATCGAAGAGGTGGACTTGGCTGCACACAGGAAGGAAGAACTGACCAGTATTTAGAGCTTTTTATAAAAGAAATGGGTTTCCTTGAGCGTGAATTCTTTCTCGCTATTGAAGAAAATGAGTGACCACTAATTATGAATGGTAAAAACTTACATATGTCAGTGTGGGGGCTTTTACATTTTAATAGGTATTAGAATCATGTAAGGCAATTGTTAAATTCTGATTATCATGCCTTCCCTTCAGCAGACCTAGGGTAAGGCAAAAATCTACATTGTGAGCAAGTAATCCAAGCAGCAACTGATTCATCCTTGGGGAACTAATGAGACTAAATTCAGATCTTGTCCATTTATTCTACAAACAATTTAGTAAAGAATGTGTGTGGTCAGGCTGGAAATGAGGGTTAGCAGTAGAGTGCTTGCCTTGTATGCATGAAATCCTGGGTTTGATTCCTCAGTACCACATAGACAGAAAAAGCCGGAAGTGGTGCTGTGACTTAAGTGGTAGAATGCCAGCCTTGAGCATAAGAAGCTCAGGGACAGTGCCCAGGCTCTGAGTTCAAGCCCTGGGACTGGCAAAAAAATAAATGTGTGTGGTCAATATAAGGACCATAATTTGTTAAAGACCCAAGACAAAGCTAAGTTTATTTATTTAATGATCTTTAAGAAGTTGTACAAAGGGGTACCATTCAACAAAGCAGTTTATCAATACAAAGCATCTTGATCAGTGTTAGTATTACCCCTTATTATATAGAGTTAAATGATAAATGGGGAGGATATTAGGATGTTGAAGGAGAATGTCACATTCCTAACTCTTATGTCATTAAAGATAAAATGTTAACAGAAAAATAGAAGATACAAATCCAGTTTGAAAGTCTTAAAACACTTAAAAAAAAAAAGCAAACGCTACTTAATAGGGGCTTGAGGCCCTGAGTTCAAGCCCAAATAGTGTCAGAAAGAAAGGAAGAGAGAGAGAGAGAGAGAGAGAGAGAGAGAGAGAGAGAGAGAGAGAGAGAGAGAAGGGGGAAGAAAAGAAAAAAAAAAGACAATGTAGTAGAAAACAATAGATCTGGGCTGGGTAGAGCGCTTGGCTTGCATGCATGAGGCCCTGGGTTCCATTCCTCAGCACCACATAAGCAAAAAAAGAAAAAAAGCCGGAAGTGGCACTGTGGCTCAAGTGGTAGAGCGCTAGCCTTGAGCTGAAGAGCTGAGGGACAGCGCCCAGGCCCAGAGTTCAGGCCCCACAGTCGGACCCAAAAAAAGAAAAGAAAACAATAGATCTTATGTGAGGTGATGATTTCTAACTTGTATTTTCCATTCTCCATACGCCAAAGAGCAATTTGATGCAATCCTGGAAACGCTCTGAGCTTACCCTAATGGGTAACACCTGTGTAACACTCACTACCAATCAACCTTTAGGGCCTAGGCATATATAAACGGCAGCCTAACCTTCACAAAACAGGTGTGGGCTAAAGTTGGTAACACAAGATAGCGTGTGCTGGTTATCTAACTGGCCCACTTTTTGTTGTATCTAAGATTTTGTTGGCACTATAGTACCTGTTTGCTTAATCTTCAAGTGTGCACCTTTAGCAAGCCATATTTTCAAACTGCTGTCACCTGAAATGTTTTACGTTTTGTAAGTATGTTTTTAAAAAGCGTTAGTTCATGTAATTTATAGCCCCACATTAAGATCTTTGATACTTAAGTTTCATGAAAGCGTTGTTTTTAAAATACATTTTTTTCTTTATAGATGGGCGAGGGGAGGAATTGCTATTCTCAGCTGTTTTGTTGACAGTGTTTATGTGCTTGTGTAGTTCACTAAGGAGTTATTTCTGGCAAATGATTTGCTTTAAATTTAAGGCATATAAGACTACCAATGGCAATTTTATATTGATAATAAATTAAACCCTTGTTTCTTTGTGGCTTTTTTTTCTTGCTTTTGATGGCTTTGGGTCCCTTCATAGACTATGAATCATGAGAGATGAAATTGCCACAGCAGTTTTCTTTGTCACAAGACTGGTGAAAAAACATGAAAAATTGAGTAAACAGCAAATGGAGGTTTTTGCAGAGAAGCTGATGACAGTGTTGTTTGAAAAATACAGAGGTCACTGGTATCCTGGATGCCCTTCTAAAGGGCAAGCGTTCAGGTGAGAGCTGGCACGTGAGGGGATAATGGACAGGAACCCATAAGCAATAACACCTGTGAGGAAAATGCAATGATTTTGTTGTCTGTATACAAGTAATGCAAGTTTTATGGGCTCACGTTCATTTGTTTGAATATGGACTTGAATGAAAGAGATGTGGTAAATGACAATAGACTTTATGTGAGGTAGATTAGACAGTTTTTAACTTGTGTTTGCCAAGAAAGATACACTGAACATCTGTGATTTAAGCATACAATACTCATTCTGAGTCATTCTATGAAAAGTTGGATGTTTCAGTCCCACTTTTTCTTTCTTTCTTTCTTTTTTTTTTTTGGTCTGTCATGGGGCTTGAACTGTGTGGGCTTGGGCACTCTCCCTGTGCTCTTCAGCTCAAGGCGAGCGCTCTACCACTTGAGCCACAGCACCACTTCTGGTTTTCTAGTGGTTTATTGGAGATAAGAGTTTCACCGACTTTCCTGCCCAGGTTGGCTTT